CTAGTGAGGGCGTCTGCGGAACCAGGCACTGCCCTGCTGGGGAGGAGTCGGCACCGGGGGCGGCGCATTAACCCCGGAGGGGCTGGCGGAGGGGGCGGGGTAGGGAGGGTCGCCAGCCGGGAGCTCAGTCTACTGGTTCCAACTCTCCCACCTCCCGCACTGCCTTACTCACATACCCCTGGTAGCCACAACCCCACAGGTACACACACACACACACACACACACACACACACACACACACACACACGCGCGCGCCCGCAGGTACAGTAACTCAGACACACGGAGACGGCCACCCCTCTCCACTGCTCTGGTCTCCCCCGCTTTCCCTGCATCCGGCCCTGTCCCACTTGTTGCCCCCTCTTTTTCCATCTGTTTTCTTTCTCAGTTTTGCTTCATCTTTCCCTCTCCCATCCTGACTGTCTGTCTGTCTCTGTTGTCAATGGCCTGGCCCTCTCCTGGCTCACTGTCTCTCTGGTCGCACCTCACCCCTTCGCATCTCTCTGCCTCTGCCTCCCACCCCACCTCTGCTGGACAGAGAAGGCTGTCTTTGGCCACCCCGCCCTGCTCAGCCTCTGCTTTTCCAGAGAGCCCCGAGCCTCTCTGGCCATTGACCAGGAACATTTGCGGGGCCAGGCTGGAAGGAGGCCCTGATCTTAGACTCCAAATGATTCATTTCTCAGTTGCTTATACATTCCCCTCTGGTGGAGTTGGGGTTCTGACTGCCGCTGCACCCACCGTATCGCCCGCCGGAACTAGGCGCAGCAGGTTCGGGTTCGGTTTTAGCTCTTTCTGAGCCAAATCCCTCCTGCTTCCCAACTCCTGCCCGGGAATGCTCTTCCCACCAGAAATAAGGGTAATAGTCATGGTGACAGCGAGTGATGTTGAGGTCTCTCTGTTTCTACTCCGTAAGAGTTAGTCTCAGAAGTCCTTAGGCCAGTGTTCTACCTTGTCCTGTAGGGTCGCCGAGTCAGCGTCGACTCGATGCCGTTGCGCTGTGACCTTCAAACAATGCCCCCCCCCAAAAGCAATGCTAATGTGACCTTCAAACAATGCCCCCCCCAAAAGCAAAAACAAAACAAACCTCACTGCCGTCGAGTCCATGCTGATTCATAGTGATCCTATAGGACAGGGTAGAACTGTCCCTGTGAGTTTCTGAGACTGTAACTCTTTATGGGAGTAAAAAGCTTCGCCTTTCTGCAGAGCTAGATGATGGTCTCAAACGGGTGACCTTAAGGTTAGCAGCCCAATTCATAACCACCAAGCCACCAGGACTCCCTTGAAGTAACCCAGTGAGGTCCTATTCTTATGAGCCCCACCTTATAGTGGAGGAAGGGTCAGCTCAGAGAGCTTGGATGGATTGCCTAAGGCCACACAGCAGAGCTGCAGTCTGCTCAGGGCCCAGCCTCACCAGGAGGGAAGGCACTGGGAGGCTCAGAGGAACTTACTCTGGAACCTCCGGTTGAGCAGTTGTTCATCCCACCCCTCCCGCACCCCCAAAGTGTGTGGTTTGACCAAACAGAAAATGTGTGTGACTGCTGGAGACGCCTTCTCCAGTCCTGCCTCCCCAATCTTGGTGAGGTCTGAAGCTCCCGGGGGAATGTGGGGGCACATCACGGGAGGGCAATGCTCAGAGTGTGGCAGCCAAAAACGCAGTGGTCCCTTGCATGGAGAGCCATTACCACTGCAGACAGCGTACTGGGGAATTTGGTGGACCGGCAAAGCCATTCCGTGCAAACCTCCATTTCATAGATGGGGACACAGAGATCTAGGCAATGGGGCTGCCCAGCACAGGTAGCCCAGGGCATTGAGGTCAGAGCCAGGAGAGGGATACATGAAGTCCCAGCATGCTCTCCTTCACTATGGCCTTGCTGCAATTTCTCCAATCTCTTTCCCTTCCTGCTACCAGAGATCTCAACTCTTTGCGGTATTTCACAACCACCTTCAGGGCCCCTGCATCTCTGAACCTTTAGTGTTTCCCAGACTCTCCATGGAATGCCTGCCTGCATCACACCCACGTCCTATTCCACTGACTCACTTAGCACCCGTCCCAGGCAGGCACCTCATCCAGGAAACCTTTCCTGGCTTCCAAGCCAGGATTAGTGCCTTCCCTGGGCTCCAACAACCTCATATGACCTTGAAGACGCCACATGGGAGGTACGATTGTATCTGCTCCTCTCTCTCAACTGCAAACTCTTGGAGGCCAGTAGATGGTCTGACACAGATCAGGTGCTTAGCTGGTTTGTTGAATGGAGTTCATTAGTTGATTGATGAATTCTTCAGACGTAGAAGTTCTCCCCATGCCTTCTCTGTCAGTTTTTCCTCACTGCAGTGGCCTATGTGTTGCTGCGGTGTTGGAAGATGGTATTTTAAGTACAAGCAGAGTCTCCCCTAGTAAACAGGTTTTAGTGAAACTTACAGACTAAGGACTAGGAAGGAATAAGCAGGCCACTCCTGAAGATTTTATGAATAGCAGTGGAACATTGTCTAATATAGCGCTGCGAGGTGAGTCTTTCAGATTAGAAGGCACTTAAAATACGACGAGGGAAGAGCTGCCTCCTCAAAGTAGAGTCAACCTTAATGACAGCGATGTAGGGAAGCTTTTGAGACTTTTGTCTGCTGGTGAATGAGAAGACACAGCTGCAGAAAGCCAATAATAATCAGAGTTGTAGAATGGAGGAAATATGAATCTAGGAAAACTGGGCATTGTCAAAAATGAAATTGAACACACAAAGATCAATATCCTAGACATGAGTAAGCTGAAAGGGACTAGCATTGGCCATTCCGAATGAGATGATCATATGATTTACAATGCTAGGAAAGACACATTCAAGAAGAATTCATTCATTTTCAAAAAGAACATTCCAAGATCTTGAAGCACAATGCTCAAGATCTATATGCCTACAAAAAATATCAGCTAATACAACTATTATTCACACTTACACCCCAAATACTAAAACAACGATGAAAAGAATGGAAGGATTCTATCAACTTCTTCCATTGGAAAGATGATCAAACATGCAAGCAAGATGCATTGATAATTACAGGTGATTGGAATGGGAAAGTTGGACATGAAAAGAAGGATCAATAGTTAGAAAAGTTGGCCTTAGTGATAAAATAAAGCTATATAGTGCATGACAGAATTGTGCAAGACCAATGACTTGTTCGCTGGAAATACATTTTCAGTAACAAACATGGAAACTATACACGTGGAATTTGCCAGATGGAATGCACATGGATTGAACTGTTCCTGTAGGAAGGGACCGTGGAGAAGCTCGATTTCATCAGCCCAAACCAGGCCAGGGGCCGACTCTGGAGCAGTCCGTCAATTCCTCATATGCAAGTTCAGGTTGAAGCTTAAGGAAAACAAGTCCGTGAGAGCCAAACACAACCTTGAATATATCACTTTTGGATTTAGAGAGCATCTCAAGAACAGAATTGATGCCTTCAACACCAATGGCTGAAGACCTGGTGAGTTGTGGAGGGACATCAAGAACATCACAAACGAAGAAAGCACAAGGTCACTAAAAAGACCAACAAGAAATCAAAGACCAAAATGTTTTCCCGCTAGCACCTGTTGACCTTGCTTACAGAAACTAGAGAGAAGAGGAAGGGCTGGCTCATCTGAAATGGAAAGAGCTGTGTGGATACTGAGCTCATGGGCATGACCTAGCCCCAGTGGGCTAACGCTTATCAGAGTTTGGGAGAGGACCAGCTGGTCTGACGTGCAGGGAGGTGTATGTGAACTCCTGAGCTTGCTGCTGATAACCATTGACTTAGTTTGGATGGCAGCTAGGGCTGAATTGACCAGAATCCAACCGGATGAAGATAAGTACGTTGATCCTGTGAGCTGCTGCAAATTGCTGCATTCTGCTGGTTTTCCCTGGAATTTACTTTACTTAAAGATGCAGATGCTTAAAATTCCAACTGGAATGAAGATTGTTAGGATGAAAGAACTTGCATGTCTCTTCAGAGCTGGTTGTTAGGGATAGGCAATTTATAAGTTGGATATCCACAATGGAGAAGATAGATATGAGGTGATCGGCTTACAAGCTTTCATGGGTGTGTTAGTCCGTGTAGACTAGAGAAACAAGTGTATATGTGTATAAAAAAGAGCTTTATATACAAGAGCAATTGAATATTGAGAAAACATCCCAGCTCAGTCCAGATCAAGTCCATAAGTCTAATATTAGCCCATATGTCCAATACCAATCTATAAATTCCTCTTCAGACTCACAAAATACTTACAACGCTGAATGCAGGAAGATCACAGGCCAGTGGGTGGAAAGTCTTGTGGATCCAGTGGTGGTGGAAGCATCTCAGCGCTGGCATGGGTCTCCATGTGGCTCCTCCAGCTCTCTGAGTTCTGGCTGCATCAATGTAGCTCCACCAGGTTCATCCTCAGTAATGTCTCGCAGGAAGTGAGCCTGTGCTCCACCTCCAGCGAGCTATTTATCTCAGTAGCGCCTCCAAATGAGGTCATCCTGCTGTGACCTGATTGACAGGTTAAACTCCACCCCTTCACTCTTAAGTTTCAAATTGACAACAGATTATGTAACTAGCACAAGTGGAGCTAGTTTAATCTCAAAATAAGTAGAACCAGGGAGGATCCCAATGAATAGTTTTCCCTTTTCCTGATGGGCCTGGGAAAGAGAGGGTGGGGGAAGCTGTTGATCAGATGCTTTGATTCAGGTGTGATGGCCAACAGTGCTAATGGTAATTGTAAAACTGTAATTGGAGAAGATGTAATTGAAAGG